TTATATACTTCTGTTGCTCTATTATTGAAGACCATACTATAAAGTAAATATAATAATAATTTGCTTTACTCTAAAACCGTACTTATGATACAGAATGAAATTCTCAGCATTTTACTACAGTATCGCATCCAGTTTGCACAATAACAATAAATAAAATTCTACGTAGATTATGCGTAGTCTCAGTTAGTTTTAACAACAACATATTAGCATATTGGTAGCAAGGCCAAAAGTGAACAGAATGTTTGAAGGTGTTAGAAAAGTAGATACTAGCATATTTACTAACGTAAACGGTAACAAAAACGTCGAGATATACAGAATGTGAAGGAACGAAGAAGGGTGTTTTAAGTTTAAGATTATTCCACCACGCCGATGAACGATTTATCCTGAGGAATACTATGATTTAGTGTTAACTGTCAATTTAAAGGGTAAGAGAGAGAGAGAGAAGTAAAAAGAAAACAAACCAATGACAGTTAAAAGAGATTAGTCCTAGGGACAAGTCATCTCCACCTTAAAGCTGTTGACTTCTTTCTGAGCACTGGAGGCTGTGACTTTAAGATAAATAAATACTGCTGAAAATGTATTTTAAACCAGAGCTTGTAATCAGCATACTGTAAACTTCGAGCCTCCTAATAAGCTTACAAATATATTATTAACTCCTTGGGTTCCAAGCATAACATAGGGCTTCAACAGCATATCTGGATTTTTTCCCTGTTCTCTGCAATCCTCTCTACCTAGCCCTATGATTGCCCATAGTCTCTCATCTCCTCCTCAAATGGTCTCCTCCACGTCAAAATCGGACTAATGCCCAACTCATCATTTCCCATTTTTCTTACACTCAAACGAGACATCACCCAATGGTCTACTCAGCGTGTATCCAATCCATCTCTGTTTTCTTCTACATATCTGGCGAGTTTCTTGTTTCTAATTCTTCCTGGCCACCTGATCCTCAGTATGAAGTGAAAGCAGCAGTTGATAAACGTTTACAGTGTGTTGGAAATGATTTTCGTGACGCGAGCGCCAAGTTTCTCACCCATATTGAAGAACTGACTGACGTTACATTTGTTTTGAATATCTAAATCTTGTTCTTTACTCTGAGTTAGTGCAGAAGATTTCCAAACCGATTTCATGTTGATGAAGGCGTATCTTGCCTTTCCGATTCTGACTGGTTTAGACATCTTCATCCGTGCCATTCACCTGTATTTGAAACGATGTTTCCTAGACACGTGAAGAAGGTAACCTCTGTAAAATCTCTCCCATTAATGGTGATTGGTGCTGGCTGTTGTTGTGGTTCGTTGGTTATCTTCAGCACCTCCGTCTTTTCTATGTTCACTTTCAGTCCTGTCTTCGCCATCAGCTTCTTCAGCCAATTGTTGGTTTTCGCTTGCAAGTCTTCGAGTTTGTGTGACATCTGACATATATCTGCGAAATCAAGATCTTCTAGAGTCTTCTTATCGGTCGCCCAGCGTATTAATTTCCCCTCGCTCCCCACAGTTTGACGCATAATCCAGTCCACTACAATCAGGAATATCATCAGTGATAATAGGCAGGTGGCCTTGTCTAATTCATGTATGCACTCCGAACGCCTATCTGAGTTTTCCGTTGGTGATCACCTATCACTGTCACATAGCTAGCTGTTGAATGAGGTTGACAAAGATTTGAGGTACGCCGTAGTGTTGAAGTAGTAGTAGTACTTACTTCTTGGTCTGCGCTGTCGAAGGCCTTTTCGAAGTCAATGAATCTACTGAAGTAGAGGTTTGACTACCATTCTATGCTTTGCTCTGTGATGACGATGCGTAGAGTTGCAATTTGATCAGCATATGATTCACCTTTCCCGAATCCAGCTTGTTCCAGGAGGAGTTCTGTATTCAGTGCATTCTTTTTTCTCTCCAGGATGATGCGACTTAGTATTTAACTTGGTGTGGACAATAGCATTATTCCACACCAGTTCTTTGAGAGGTGTATATCGCCCTTCTTTGGCAGCTTAACGAGGTAGCCAGCCTTTCTTCCAATCGGTAGGTAGCTTTCCTTCCTTTTAAACCTTTTTGATGTGGTTGCGTTAATTTGAATTAATTTCAAACCTTTTCAATAATGGCGTGATTACATCTGCCGCAGTCTCTGGGTCCATTTTCAGTGCTTCGGGGGAATTTCGCTTGTCCCTCTTTTACTTCCCGACTGGACTTCAATAGCTTGATTGCATTCAGGATTTCTGCTTTCGCCGGATGGTTGGTGTCCACTGATAGGCAGTTGTGTGTGTGTGTGTGCTATTGGTGATAGTGTATTTCTGCGCGAATTGCAGGTGAGGGTCAAGCCAGGAGTCCTTTGAAATGGTCAACCGAGTTATTTCTTAGTGTATCCTCCTTGGCAGTTAAGCTCCTTTGGCCATCTTTTATAGGTTTTACCTGCGTTGTTCTCTTCTATGATAGAGACCTAGCTATCTGATACAGCGTTCTGAGGTCTATTTTACCTGTGGCCTGTTCTGCTTCAGTTGTCAGTGTGTCGTAGAATTGTTTTTCCTTGCACTCTTCACTTTTTTATTCAGTGGGATGTACACTGAACTCAGTTGCACATATAAGACATGAGTAATTTTCAGTCATAATACTCATTTGTTAATATTATTATTTCCTTGGTTTCGAGGTGTGACGTAGAGCTCCAATAGTACACTTTCTTTCTACTCTGCTCGCTGCAGTCCTTTTAGCTGTCTCCATGACTGCCCATAAGCTCTCATTTCCCTCCCCCCCTCCCCACCCCGATCTTCTCCATTTCAACATCGGATGTCTGACTCATCATTTACCATCTGGATTCCACTCAAGTGAATGGTGAGCAGTATAACTGACACGCCTTGTCCAAGCACTTTAGTAAATCAAAACGAGTATGCCAAAGTTAGTCAATAAGTACCAATGTTTCTTTCACTGGTATATAATTCAATCTTGCTTAATTTTATGATGAAATTATTATGATGAAAAAGAATTTGAGAGAAAATGGAACATTTCAAAAGGCTTATACCACATAGCAGTATGAAGATGAGTCAAGCATATTAGCACCGGTTTATTGATTGAATAATGGTGCTTCCTAGACAATGATGATAGCTGCTTTGACCTTGAGATGCAAATTATTTGAAAGAAGTAAAACCTTTTAAGTGAAAATTGTTTTTCAGTAAGTACAGTATTACAAAAAAAATTAAGTATTTTTCAATTATTAAGAATATTTTCTAATGACCTATTCTTATACAGAGTAATTCGCAGACAGCTGGTTACATACATTCATTGGATCAATATTAGACAGTTCGTTATTGGTGAAATAATAAATTGCTATTTATGCAAAAGACTACCTTGAGATAAACTGGATTATGATGTATCTATAAACAGTTAGAGGAATAAAATAACCTACAACTTTGCACACTGATGTATCTAGTCAACTTGTTAAATTTTGAAACTTTAATAATTGAAATTTACATCAGAATGGTGATGTTAATGTAACCGTAGATTTGAGAGGATAGAATAACCTAATTAAAGTTGAAGAGAATGCTGCAGTTTTCAAAAGTGATGAAGATTGGATATATCGGTACAAATGTGAACAACTTTGAGCTGTATTATCAAGGGTCTGCTAGCATAGAATATTCATTCTTGCAAGATTCCGACTAGATGGTCTTCACCATCTTAAACGAGTCAGCTCAAGAATTGAGTGACTTATTTCCCCTACCTAGCAAATAAAAGCCAACTTCTGTGCTATTAATCCTCTTATTCCCTGGTACAAAAATAAAAAGATTGGTTAAAAAAGCCTGAGATATTTTCACTATCTTCAATAGCCGCTCTATCTCACAACTGTAGAAAGGCATATAGTGAAAAGCATTGAAAAATGATGGATAAACTCATAGTTTCCACCTAGAAACTTTATCTGTATTTCTCAGTATCTTTTACTTATGGGCACATAGACTCTAGGGGGATAAACGAGCCAAATAGTATTGACTTGGTTCAAGTAAGAATGGCCATCAAAAAATCTCATTTGCTCTGACCAACATTTTGTTTTGGATTATAGCTTGATTCCGCACCGTATTTTCAGATAAAAGTATGGAATTTTCAGCATACGATGTCGGTAGCCCAAATTTTGCAGGCCGACCACTGATATCAGGGGTGCGTTGGTAGGGGATCGAACCTGGACCATGTGAATGGTCAGTAAGAGTCCTAACCGCTGTGCTTCTTTTTACATCCATAAGTGGTTTTTATCACACTGAAGATTATTCACTCATAAGACATTGAAAGAAATGAACAAAACCTTCTCTGATTAGATTGCAGCGGTAAATAATTCCCCAAAATTACTGACCATAGGAATCATCAGTGAACATTGGATGCTGACCGTTAATGTTCGACTTGTTTAGCTGAAGGCTTCCGGTCAAACATCCTCGCAATTTGGTATCCCATCGTGTCACTTGCGTGCACGATCACTAGCCAGCTTAGCTTCCGCTTCAGTCCTCGATTTGGTCCCCAAAATATATCTCATAGTTTGGACGATCCATTACTGTATTTTTGCTTTGCCTTTGGTACACGAGAAACGAATACTATAGAAGTTGTTGGTATAAGATCTTGCGTTAGTATACTCCGTACAATTCGCGAACATCAATACCGTCAGCCTCTAAAATATAATCAATAAGAGGTATTTCTCTTTTTACTAATTTATTTTATACCTTAAAGTATTATAAGTATTCTAATAATGTTTTACAGCACAAAATTAGAATTTTGACATATATTTATATGTGAAAACATCAGTCACAAGGATCTTCAGGAAATTCATTATTTTCACATTAACATTACTGGTTGGTGTTGTATGAACACAGAAGAGTTAACTAACTAAGTTTGAGCAGTAAGTAATATTTACTAATTAGAAATACGATAAGCTAGTTGCTTCTCTCAATATATGTATTCCGTAGTGTGTTACATGGAAAAATATTTTGTAATTCATTTCTTCAGTATAAGGTAAAAATGACACTGTAAAGATGAATAGGATTATGCTCTCCTTATAAAACGACTTTTATATCTTTGACTCTTCACTACAGTTACTTTAGGCTTTCTAGTGTATTTTCGTTTGATTTTAACATTAGGATTTGAAACATTGAAATCGCATACTTCATAGGTATATGTTGCACTTTCACCAAATGATGAAGTTACATCAGAGGTAACATTCTTACACGGGCACACTCCACTACTTGTTATACATGTGGGAATTGTTTTTGCACCTGAAGGGAATGATGTGCTAGTTGTAGGCAGTAGTTGACTATGATCAGGGTATTGATAGTCTGTTAATTTCGGATTTCCATCTGTTTGTTTAGCTTCAGTGGAATTATAGAAACATTTACTGTTATCAACTGTATCACTCATTACCTGATAACATTCTTTACAATAATAATCAGAAATAGATTTATTTATTGGTATATCAAAATTGCTAGTTTCACTTAATTGCATTTCGTTAATTTGAAGGCTGTCAGCGTCTGATGTTGCATTATTCTGTGAATTATCCATTATAAAATTATCTCTGTTTTTCTTCAATTGTGACTCTTTTGTAATCATATGATTACGTAGGAAATATCGTGAAAAATTTGAAAATAATGTAACACAATTTTTTAACCAAACAGGTAAGAGATAATTAATTCTATTCCTTATGCCTTCATTTCTCCATCTAGTTTTATTTGTATCTAATTCCATATTTCTTCTTTTCACAGGATTATTCACCAATGAATTGGATCTTTTCAAATGTTCACTTAATTGTTTTTCACTGCAATTTTTTAAATGATTAGATCTACTGACTAATTCAGTTTTCGAAATACACATTTGATCAAATGGACACTGCTTTTTACAATTAGAACAATAAATGTCTTTAGAGTTGATACTTTTATCTCTTGAACGTTTACGTTTAACAGAAATATTGATACGTTCATTGGACCTATTATTATTATTATTGTTATTATTATTGTATACATGTGAAATATTATTTGGGTTTTGTAATTCCATTTCTGACTTAGTTTGTTTAACAACTTGTCCTGTATTGATTGATTCATATGGAAGACTGGAAATGTTATCAGTTAAGCAGTCACTTTCTTCATGATTGTCGACATTGATATTATTATTATTATTACCGTCATCATCGAATCCGGTAAGTGCATTATTATTTTTTTCTAATGTTTGATTAGAGATATCGATTTCATTGTCGAAGTCATCATTTTCACCAGTTGCATTGTTACTAGCCTCCTCGTCTTCATCCCCTCATTATCGTTCTCCTCCTCTTCATCATCATCATCATCATCTTCAGCGGCAGTAGAAGTATCCTCCTCCTCTTCCTCCTCCTCTGCTTCTTCTTCTTCTCCCTCCTCTTCCTCTTCTTCATCATCGTCTTCGTTGTCATTATTATCCTCTTCATCAACTTCATTTCTTATCAGACCTAAATGTCTTACCATTAGATTATCTGTTATTATACTATTCTGCTGTATAGTATCATCTCCATAGTCATCAATAGAACCATTTGATACTCTAGTAAGCGTAACTATAATCGGATTTCTTAAATTATCAATATTCCCATTCATTGTATCACGATTTCGATTTGTACTTGATAAAGATGTTGTAGTTGTTGTTGTAGTTGATGTATTATTTGAGAATAGACTGCCTAAAATTGGTCTTAAGAGACTATTAGTTGGTAATCCTAAAAGTCTTGTCCATGTACCTAATCTTAATTGATCTTGTGGAGTTGTAACAGTTACATCTGTCATTGGAGTAACAGTAGTAGTTGTTGTTGTTGTATTATTATTGTCATTTTCATTAGTTATACCACTGTCAGAGCCAGGACTATTGTATACATGTGTATGATGATCTCCATTAGCATGCTCAAATCTCATTTGTACATTTAATGGTTCATTAAGGCGTACACTTTGATTTCCATACAAATGGATTTCAAGCGGATCTTTATATTCAACAAATAATAAGAAATTTAATAAAATACAGTTATTTTGACTTAGAATATCCAACATAGTTTGATCTCGATAAACATCTATGGATAAATCATCAAATGTGTATTGATGCTGATTTTTACTACTATCATTATTAGCATTGTTAGTAAGTTTAGGAGATGCATTACTCATTAATACATCAGTAGTATAACTAGATGATTGTTTATTTAATGCATCGAAATGTACTGAGTGCAGTTGGTCGTTTATATTAAATAATATATCTCCACATTTGAATGAATTCAAACATATGAGAAAATCCGTTGTTTTATTCGACTTAGTTTTAATCGAGTAGTCCAGTTTATTTAATTCACAGTTAATGTGAATTTCAACAGTCAAACGTTTAAAGTTACTCAGAAGTGTTGTGTTATTTGCTTGATAATTAACAGAATTAGCATTCACGTCTGATGAATCATTATGGAATGCAGCAATTTGCTTTTGTATAATTCTTAATCCCATTGGATAATTATTTAATTTAGTTGATAATGTTTTACTAAATTGTATTTCATTCATTAAATATAATTCATAATGAATTAAGTTTCTCACCAGATTAGATTCAACATCTTCAACAGTTTTTTGTTTATAGTCACATTTTGAAATATGTGAATTTAAATCTTCATATTTACCTTTCCATACACATCCAACAAGATTATAACGACACGTTACATAACGATTTGGGCATAATTCATATTCATGTTGTTTAATTAATCTACGTGGTATAATATTGAAGCAGTAATGACATTCATGTGGTAATTCAGCAGTCATTTGTTCAGCTAGTAAACATCTACGTAATTTATACTGTAAATTAACACGACAACTAGGACATTTAGCTAAATTTGTTTGGCTTGACTGTTGTAATAATTGTATAGAACATTGTGAACATATTAAATGTCCATTTGGGCATTGATTTGTTTGATCTCTTATTTCTAAGCATACAGAACAAGTTAACAAAGATTTCAGTGTATCTAGTATATCGTTTTCGTTGAGTTTCGACTTAATATAATTTCTGTGGTCATGTAAAAATGTTTCGTCATTGGCGTTAATATTTTCAAGGTCGTCAGTTTTTGAACTATCAGTGACAGTGAGTTGTTCTCCTTGTTGCTTCAGCTGCTGGTGATTAGTGTCATTATTATTGAATAAATTCTGTTTTAATATAGTTAACCTGGGTTGTTTATTCAATGGTTCTGAATGAAGTAATTTCTCTTTCTCCTCTTCTTGATTTGTATTACTATCGGAAATTGACTGTGAATTTCTCTTAGATAACTTCTGCATTACAGATGAAAATAATGATTAGTTTAGATAATTGGATATTTTACAATAATTCTGCGCATACAATAATACTATTAACAGTTGAAATTATAATAGCGGAGATATAACTATTAATGCTTCATTTATTCTACAAATCTGAGTATAATAAAGAAATGCTATGTAAAACAGATTAGAGATTTAAATTTCTGCAGATCGATATTCACTTACAGTAAGTATAATTAATTAAGACCGTGATGATATAACTATAAACAGACGTATCATTAGGTTTCTACTCATACAAGATTTTAGTGCAAGAAATAACTAAAAATTAAGATGGCTGGTGAAACAGGTAGATACAACTGGAGTAAATTTTGAAATAACTAACGTTGATTTTTCAATTGTTAACTTCACTATAGAAAAATTCATTTCCCTAAAAAAGACTTCATCGCTTTATTCATTTTATGCAGTTAAAAAACATGATTTACTTTAGTCGGTGGTGACTAGCAGTGGAATTCAGGTTGCACATTTTGTCCAATCTGGCACTCGTCACTGAATACACCTGCATTCCCAGTGAGTTATGATGGCATTCCCACTCAGACTCAAACCCTGTTCTCATCATTTCAAACGCTCAAGCACTATCCATTAGGCCACATGAGCCACCTCTTGTACAATGGATATTGTTTATTATTTGTTTCTGTTGATAGGTCAGTAGAGGGATAAGAATTCAGTTTAACCTAAAGAAAAAAAGGTGGTGTTTTGAAGATTTATTGATTACTGCTTAAATAGGGAACTGGCTGTCTGGAAGCAGCTAGTGATTAACAGTAGGAAGAAGGGATACTCCTATTCAGTAAAGGTGCAGAAAATAACTTACGACTTTGTAGAAAACCTTAGTATATTTAACGTTCACTCCATACTTTCCAACTGTTGAATGATACTGCGGAATTGGTCTGTTTCTACATCGGTTTCAAGAACTTTGTGTGGATTTATCCGGCATTCCGCACCATTTTTAGTTCTTCACCTTTTGATTACTCTTGAAACTAATGTGCGGTGCAACAGTTCTAGTTTACAACATTGGGATGTAGCCTCTGAATACAGGTGACATGAAATTACAGGCTTTTGACTAAAAGTGTCTTCACATTGACGGAATCTCAGTGACGGTATATGGCGACTTGATGCTAGTCAATAAGTTTGTGAAACTTCACTTAATCAAATAGGTGAGATATGTGTGTATTGCCATCAGCGGCTTTTCACAGTCAACACTGTCAAGTAGGATAATACTATTGTAACAACAGAAGACAAGGGCCAGGCAACAGATCCTTTATTAAGGAAATCAACACGTATTTATAGATTTTCATGTACATATTATAGATTACTGTTAGCAGAAAAACACAGTCTTCTGATTGGTTGTTTCTTACAGAAAGTTAACTTTGCATCTGTCTGTGACTGTTTCTTGAATATCAGATCATCTGTATGTTAACTGTACCCGCCTACGCAAAGCCTTTCTTCTCATTTTTCTCACGACCAATATTGGGGACATAAACATTGACGTAAAATACTGTCTACCAATTTTGACTAACAGCCAGCTGTCATCACACTATAATTGGTGTAAATCAGACCGAAAAGAAATCTAAAAACTATAAAGCCTCTATCTCTCAACTCGAGCCATGTGTGAAAGCGTAGGTCGCCCGACTTTTGTTATCAGAGTGGCAAGAATCAATAGTCGACGACTCTTCTGGTCACGACTGAAAACCTGTCTAAAGGACGTAAATGTTTGTAGCATTAAACATCTATGTAATGTTTATCATTTTCACCTGCCTTATGTGAGCCTTTTCCATCCTTCTTTTTTAGTCATTTTTGTCCATTGTCGCATTATTCTATTTTCTGTATTCTTATATTTGTATGCTATTCTGAAATGCAATAAAGTCTTGTGCTAAACTTTATATCCTTTAAACCATTTCTCTATTCATTGTTCAATAAAATTGGAAATAAATGTTGAACAATTACCAAAAATCTAACTGTTGTTCATAAATATTTGTTAGAGAAAGGATGCCCTGAAAAAAGTAATTATTGTAGTTAAATGCTAGTTAGTTTGACGTCCGTAGTTTATTAAAAGTGTTCGATTTAATAAGCGTTTAGTTAGACACTAGAGGATAGTTATAATGGCTAGTGATATCAAGAGTTCCTAATAGCACTCTTGAAGAGACTTCTGTTCAACACTAGGACATCTTTAGCTAATCAATGATGTCGTTGAAAAGACCTGTTAAGGGCTTCAGTTAAAGTTTTCTCTTGTTCAGCGACTTCATTTTTAAGCTAACTGTACAGTTATATTTATATTACCGAAAACTGTATTAAGTGACACTAGAAATTGCTCAGTCAATATTGTACATATGATAGGAATAAAGATAATTAAAATGATATACTAAGGGGGTAGAGTTGAAGTGGATGAATTACACAACTTTCAAAGATTGTTAAATTAGTGAACTGGCATAAAGACTTGACATACAGTTTTAAAGTCTTTAAGGTGTTGTCTGAAAAATTAAGAGTACGATGATGATAACAATAAAGACGGCGAAGGTGAATTGAGGTTCAATGAATTCAAGTGGTAAAATAGAATAAAATAAAAGAGCATTACTATGACCAAGGTAGAGAAAAGGGTTTGACATAAAGTTTTTGAATAAATAATTTAGATTTTTGTCCATGTATAGCTAGAACTTCGGCAATGCATAAGTGGAGAAAGCGTAAGCTTTTGGAGTGATTGGATTTGGTCCTGTAGATGATTTTGAAGGATAAATCACATGGGGCTTAATGACCCGACTGCAGAAGATGTTCACAAATTGAAGACTTTTTCGTCCTTTGCTCACGTTTCATTAACCAAACCGGGTAGTGCTCAGCTACGCGTTTATGGAGATTACGCTTACAATGTCCAATATAATCAGCTCCACAAGAACATGTGAATGAGTATATGCACAAAGAGGCGGTAGTTTATCCTTGATACATTGTCAAATCATATTTCGGTTGATAATTACTAAATGTAAGTCAACTGTATGAAAACACCGTTTAATACATTTAAACGACTTTTAATTACTTCAGAAATATTGTCACCTTTGAAAGCCAAACTCATAAACAGTGTCTTCTCTGCCACTGTGATTTGGCTGGGAATGGTTTCTTTCTTGGTGTTTCTCCCGATATATCTCCTAGGATATCCATTATTTAAGAGAGTTGTGCGAAGGTTTTCTAATCCTAAGTTGATCGTATCTATAGAGCAAATTTTCAGAATCTTGGAGCACATAGAACGAAGCCCTAGTTCCTTAAACTGCAGTTTCCTGGTGATATCATCGATGAAATAATAACACACCCAGAAATTGCCGTAAAAAAGGCATTCAATGAAAAGAGTTAGGTTTTCTTTTCACAATTAAAACGATTTCAGGTTGAGAAATAAGAATAAACCACCTAAATTCACCGCCTTCATGGATATCTACCGATTCATTTGCATTTATGAACCTAGTTACATCGGACATTCAATTAGCGATTCACGCCATAGGATTCCCGAACATCATCTTGGATACTTAAGCAAGGTACATACAAAATATGTTCGTAGCTCTGTTTTAGGACACATTGTAGATACTTATCTTAAAGTGAATGTTCATAAAATATTTGAAGTTATCTATAGTAATCACGTGATGTCAATCTTGCCTTAAGACTTCGTCTTCAACATGCAGAAGAAGCCATTGGAATCCAGCTGAGGAAGCCGACTATAGAAAAATTCTTACAGCCAATTTCCTTATTCTGTCTATCATTACATTAATGTAAAAACTGATAATTCCTCCCCCTGTGTCGCTTAAAAGCTATAATTGTTTAAACTATCTTATTATTCCGCATACATCACATTTAATTATTTCTTTACGTAGTCCGTCTGATGACTCACTTATTCTTCTTTTTTTAAATTATGTAGCCACTTGTTTAATGTACACAAATACTTAACCCTCTTATTGTAGCCTTAATCTTCTTGGTTAATTATCTCCCCTGTTGACACTGACTAATCATCGTTAGCAAACTTATCATTACTAGATCGCCAAACTCTATATTGAATTAAAATTATTATACATACTATAGCAGAGTCATTGACTACGACCTAATTGAAAACCAAGTACGTTTTCAGTCAATTTACTGTCCTCTAAATGTCTGAATAGTGAGTTTCCGCTAGATATGTTATTTACTAAGATACGATGTTATCACTGCAACAGAATTATCGTTGCAGTGCACTTTGATGTCAAGTGGCTGGAAGTAAGAGACCGCAAACCATGGGCTTATGTTCTACGATTGGCAGTACTGTGGTGAGAGCTGTTTGTAAGCCAAAGTCGTAAACAACAATTTACATCGATGTTTACGTCCAGAATAAGGGTCATAAGAAAATATAATAACAAAGTTTAACCTTGAGGAACTCACCAACCAATCACAGCAGACTTAACGTGGTCAGATGCTATTCACAGATATATGACCGGACTGTCTAAGAGACGGCCACAAAGAGATGACAAAATAACCTTCAACAAGAAAACAACCAATCGGAAGACATTGCTTCTCTGCTAAAGATAACGAATAATGATGTACGTAAAAATCTACAAATACCTCTTGATTTTCTCAATAAACGATCTGTTGTCTGACCCTTGTCTTCTGTCGTTACAGTACTAGTACTAAAGATGGTGTACCAGCTAACTGATTCGCAGAGTTTGATCGCTATATAGGAACAAGGATGTAATTAGTTGCACGCCAATAATCAACCATTTCATCAGTTTTACTAATGTACATCTTCAGTCGGTACTCCCACAATAGCTCATTGAGAACGACTGTGGTTTCGAAACATCCCATGGTGAGGATTTTAACCCACAAGTGGATATCGATATTCTGGCTGTTACAGATACAGTGTAGTGACAAGCTAAACCGATTACACTGATTGTATCTATTTGTTCCTGATGACTATCTTTATTCACGGGATTTTATTCCTTTACGCTCTCAGAGGAAGTTTCGATAGCAGTGGTGCTCATTTATACGAGATGAGGTTGCTAGCCTAATGCCCAGCCTTCCCCCTTTACCAATCTTAGAACTGCCTTAGCGAGGTAAAGGAGTGCGTCGACCGGTGATCGAACCCCTGACTACATGAGGCGTGGTCGGCGAGCATTCTACCGCTCTGCCACAGACGCATTAAAAAGGCTAAGTTGCCATTAGATGGTTGGAGGTAATCGACAGGAGCCCTTGGAACTAGGCTTCGTACTAGCTAGCACTTGTCAGTCAGCAAGGCGTATCTGTAACTTTGAAAAAACTGATGTCGCATGTGAGATTCAAACCCGTGTCACCTAGTGCTGAAGAGTCTGAGACGTTACCACTGAGCTATTTGATTTGATTTACAACTTGATTTCACACCGTATTTTTGGTACAAGTATGGGATTTTCAGCATGGATATCGTAGCCCAAATTTTTCAGGCCGACCATAGATATCAGGTGTACGTCAGCAGGGGATTGAACCTCAAACCATGTGCATGGTCGGCGAGAGTCCCAACCACTGTGCCACTGACGCACAGCTTACAGATAGTAACAATCCTCAACTAGAGGATTTGCACCCAGAAGGTCGGAAAGTCTGTGCACGAAGCTATTTGACGGGGGGACGAGTGTGATGAGAGCAGGCTGCTAGCCAATCGGTAGACATTCTGTCTGTTTTCGACATAGAACTTTGCACAAATGTGCGGCAGTTCAAGTCGCCACACTCCGTGTAGCACGCGAAGCAAGTTCTAACAAATATATAATTTTTCTGAGTTCAATGGTATCTTTCAGTCAGTTTGCCACAAATATTTGATTCGGAAATCATGAATAGTTGTATCTTATCGAAACAAAAATCTGAGAGACCACACATTTTTGTTTACTTGACTAAATGTTTTCCGAATTTCCTATTTCAGCTACACTGTTAATTTTATGTAGTTTATTAGCTTCAGGGCTTCATGCTGAACTTCAGCTTAGTTTATTTTATTTATCGATTGGTGGTCACTTAATTGAGTTTTTATTACTGTGCTCCTACTGATCATACATGTCTTGGTCATGCAGTTTTAACAATATCTAGGTTGGGAAACAAAACTACATCAAATAAAAGTTATTTCTATGATTGAAACCATAAATACGTTTGTTCGTACATCTTGCTAATGTGGTCGAGTCGCTTGACTCTTGGTAATCAGTGTAGCTATTTTCTTCTGATTATGTTAATTTGAAGCCTATTGATATAAAACTGGTCATTGTGATGTTCATTTGTATGTTTTGTTTATGCCTGTTTTAGTTAAAAGTCTAAGTGATGAGAAAGAGATCTGTCGAGTTATTATCATTCGGTACTGAACTTAAGCCACAAAATTCTCACCTGTTAACTTTTTGGGTAGCATTAATTAATCACCGGTGACGTGATATGAGTATTAAGAACGATATCTAGTTACTAATACAGTTTCAGAGCTTGATATTCTACTCTACACGTCAAATTGATTGGTATTTGTGATTTCTGTCATGGAGTAAAATTTTACAGTTAAATTGTAGTATGACGCACTTAATTGACGTTTTGTGCTTTATATCCTTCTGCAAACTTAAGCTAATTGGTGTGTCTTCATGTTTAGAGAATTATGTCATTCAGTGTGTTAATCATGACCGTTACCATGAATATATTTTGATGGCGATTGAACCTGTGGAGCAGAATCCTAAGGAATAACCGGTGTTATGTTCTCTGACAGTTTTTGCTTATCAAATTCTCTCTTCTTGAAAATGGGATTTCTCCGTGTTGAATGCATATGGCTGTGTAATGATTCCTGATAAGTATTATACCTATATCCTGAGTTCTCTTGTATTATGTGTGCGTCGGTGGCACAGTGGTTAGGACTCTCGCCAACCATGCACATGGTCCGGGGTTCGAGCCCACGCCGGCGCACACCTGATATCTATGGTCGGCCTGCAAAATTTGGCCTAACGATATCCATGCTGAAAATTCCATACTTGTACCAAAAATACAGTGTGGAATCAAGCTGTAAATCAAAAAAAAGCAGGAGAAGAAAGTACAAGAAAAGCATAATAGAAACAGTGAGCAGAGGTGTGAGACAAAGGAAGAGTAATAACGAAGAACAAAACACTTTCATTGGAGATCATAAGTCACAGGGAGTGGATGCATCTGCGCTACTGAGAACGGTTTTGAGCCATGTCACCAATTGTTTCCAACCATAGATTTTTACCGTCCCGAGGACCCCAACCAGCCTGGAAGTCTACACCTTCCTACGTGACTGGTTTAGACTAACTTTTGTGGATTTCATTGACTGGTGCCAAGTTTTTGTTTGACCGCCGCTAGCTTTTTTCCAGCCTGGCCCTATATCCGCTAACATTGCTCGTCGAGGGAGGCGATGGCTTGGCATACGCAACACATGTCCTAACCATCTCAGTCTTTGTAACTTCACGACTTCGTCGATTGATTTCCCCTGTTTACCTAGAACTCGACGCCTAACCTCAATATTGCTCACCTTATTATGCCACTTTACACGGGAAATAGAGCGCAGGCACCTATGATCAAAGACAGCTAGTCTTTTCATGTCTTCCACTCTCAATCACCAGGTCTCACAGCCTGCCATAAAGGAGGACGGAGCGGACTGATGAGCAATACACCTGCCCTTTGGTCGATAGTCGAACATCTCGTCTACGCCAGAGTCGGCGTGAACTGGCAAATGCGAAACGAGCCCCCTGTATTCGTGCTGAGATTTCGTCAGAGATCAACCCGTTGGCACTGGCTGATGGTACTTCCTAAATAAGTGAAGCGCTCAATGTGCTCTACCACTTCACTTCCTATTTTTAAACTAGGCGTCGATGCAGTCCAGTCCTGTAACATCATCTTGCATTTGGCGGGAGCGAATCGCATGCCAAACATTCGTAGATTGCGGCTCAAGGTGTTTAGAAGACTCTGCATTTCGTAATCGGTAGACATTAATCTACGTCAATGTCTAGGTCACTAATATTGGCCATGAGAAAATATGAACACGGCTGATTCAACAACCAATAACAGCATACTTAACGTGGGCAAATATGATTCGCAGATAGATGGCTCCACTTTCCGAGGTTACCCGAAACAACCAATCAAAAGTCTGCATTTGTCTACTTGAACAAGCTATAATAATGTACAGGAAATAAAAATAAATACGTGTTGATTTCCCTAATAAAACGATCTGTTGCCGGCCCTTGTCTTCTGCTGCTACATTTGGGCTTACCATCTGTAATTATCAAAAATTATTTGAATCTGTAAATAAGTGATAAAGTGAAAGTCACTTTTATATCTCCCCTAACCCTTATAAATATCCCACTTATTTCGAACGTTAAAACGAAGCATTTCATGGAACTTTACACACTTATACGAACATGATGCTTCTGTAACAAATGAAGAGAAGAAAAGACCAATGCGAGAAACTAAGTTTTATTATCAAGGCAGATGAAGTGGAATTTCATTAAACAATAACAGATAATAATCAGTCAACACAAAGCATCTAATCAAAAAAAAAATAGAAATAGGAGAACAAAAGAAAAGTCATAAAATAATTGTACAAGTGAGGTGGAAAGTAATAATTGTGTCTTATAAATATATATCAGATCATGTAACTACAAGCGATAGATATGATAAATTTGTAAAATAAACTACACACAGAGTATGTACAAATATCTCGATACATGTGAATTGATAATATAGGATAATTAGTGTGGTCTAACTGAGCCTAGACATGATTCTGATTGATTTCTAACACGTGGTACAGATTGTTGAGAGTTACCTATGAAAGGTATTTCATTAACTACCTGTAATAAGTGTTCAGTAATTAAATCCACGCCGACTTGATTATCCGGAGCTCGAGGTAGAATCACATCAGCGTACTTCTTAGTCTGAACAAAAGTATTTTTAAAAAAATACACTCGTTAAAAACAAACTACTCACAAAAGATATATATATATTGTTTAAAGTTACCTAGATATCAGTTTTACTAGATTAATAAACGCGACTCAAGTTTTCTCACATTATACGCACATGATTAATTATTTAACAATAAAAAAACTTAAGGTAGTAGCAAAACTGTGGTGAGGAGTTTTCTGCATTTTGTTCGAATAATTGTTGCTTTAAGAGCTGGGTACACTTTTGCGCATCAATCTTATCTCCTGCTTCCATCAACCGCTTCATTAACAGGTGCATCATTGTAAAGATATTATTGTATTCAACCTGAATAACCAGTTAAACCACATTAATTGGTTAAAGGAAGTCATGTATCATAAGCTTTTAAAGGCAAACTATAATATCGAATTTACTGTGTTGGAAGGCTTAGTTTATCGTTACACTGACTGCAAAAGCAGTGGAAATGAAATAGTAACCATTACCTACTTCTGGCAAGAACACCACCACATATTAGATACACATTATAAACGGGTGAAAATCTAAATAATTGAATTGGATAATTTACTTGTAGACCAGACATATGAACAGGCTATATTTTACCGTTTGATGTTGAATCACAGGATATATATATATATATATATATCCTGGACCGTCCACGGGTGACATGGAGGAGACAGTGCGAAGAAGAGATGAGAAACTACGGACAATCGTAAACCCAGTTGAAGAGGACGGTAGAAAATAGAACAAAGTGGAGATGTGTTGTTGAAGTCCTATGTTCTACTCGGAACCCAAGGCAATAATAATAATATGAGAGCAAACATGAATGACGTGCGCCGTGGCATAGCGGTTAGGACGCTCGCCAACTATGCACATGGTCCGGGCTTCGACCCCCGGCCGACGCACTGCCTTACCTCGCTGAGCCAGAAATAATCCTAACAAAGAGGAAAGGTTAGGCATGAGGCTAGCAAACCCATCCTGTAAAGATTAACACTGCTACAGAAACTCCAAGCCACTACCTTGGAGCCCTATGTTCCACTGGGAAAGTGAAGGAAAAATAACATGAATGACTGTTTCCAACTGACAAATCCTTGTTCTAAGGCATTTCAAATATAATTTACCTTCTTATACTTAACAGGAAGATGAAGAGTTGCTACATAGTTATGACGTTGGTTGTAATGACCGTGTTTTGCCTCTTTCCGTTCTCCTTAGTGTAAATAAGCTTAACAATAATACTAGTAACGATGGTGACAACAATAAAATTCGTAAAACATTCAGTTAAAAGAGCAAGGTATAGTCTACAATCATTCCCCGTGTAGTATAGTAACGATAAATGTTCTTTCGAAGTATAAACAAAAAAATCTCTACGAAAGCTTAACCTGACAAAGCTTACACACTCCATAACAATATTAGAAACAGAAAGTAGTGAATTTAAAGATCAATAGATGATATTCTGTAGTATGACAGTTTTTATTGAATCACTTTTCCAATGGTGCTTTCTTCATAGAGATCCCTTTGGAGATTTACATATTTAATAACGCTTTCAGAAACAGAAGAGGACGCCATCCTAGTGGATCACTTGTGAAACTAATTTTCTGAATACTTTCCATGAAAAAAAGAATCTCGGAAACACATTTTATATGCATATTTATTGTATTAGCAGGATATAGAGCTCAAAGTTGAACTTGAAGTGGTTGTGTAACATACTCAAAAGATACTCACGTGTTGTATCAGTACAGTGGACAGAATGTAATACTACCTATTACCTTACTGTTACTAAATCTTAACTCCTCTTTAACGACTTACCTGCAGAGAACTTACGTCAGACAGCATAAGAATTGTTTTACGTTTTCCATGCATCTCTTCAGTTGCATAATCACACGAAGTCTTTATGTAATGTAGACGAATAAACTTTCAAGCCTTATAGTAGACTCATACTCGAGAATAGAATCTTCCCAGTACAATCGGAACGTTAAAGATTAACTTAAAGTAATGGTTTAGTAGTTACTTTATTTCAATATACCACTCCAAGCTAACAGGAGTAAAAATTACTTTAATCAGAAGGCCACAAGTGTTTAGTGCAGAAGTTCTAAGAGAGACTCTGGCCTGATATGAGGCAGAACACCTTCGTAACACTAAAACACCCAGTTTTCCTTGTAAACCACCCAAGAAACAAAAAAAACAATCTTGAAATCAAAGATAGACGCCAACGAAAAAAAATTAAGAAATGAAGTTTTACCACTATAAGATTCTAAAGTCCTGGAATGGAATTATCTGCGTTGTGATAAAATACAATGTAAACAAATATGAACAAGCTGACTGGTTTACATAATGATGAAAGCTTCAATAAATTCATAGTTTAAAAGTAACTTACAGGTAAACAAAACTCCTCAAATGCCGGTTTAACGTACTTAAAGTAACTATCGAGCACGGATTCCAATCGACGACCTTTCGTGGAAACATCTCTTAAAACTATATTATTAATTTTATAAACACACTGCAAGAAAATGCACTCATACCTTTCCTGCAAAGTCTAGTGTCGGCATCAGATTCCACAAAAATTTTCAGATGAAATAAATCTCTGACTTCCTTTTGATAGAATGTTAATATTCCTTCAACAATTACAACATCAACATCTTCTGGGATTTCTTGAACATCTGGAGTACTAGGAACAGAAATGATAATTTTAACTTCATACCTAGAATAAGCAGAACAATCGTAGGTATGCAAGACTACCGGTTCCCTTTGTTTGATTTTTCTTAAAACCTCGGCCAAATATTTGAAATCAAATGAATCTAAGCCAAATTAAGTGAAAATAAAATAACATATAAGAAAGGTAAAACATACTAGCTGTTAAGATAAAAATTAATTTATCACTTTCCCTTAGTTAATCAACTCTTTATGAACACATAAGGCTTACTTTAATTTGCTCGATGAAAAAGAATAAAAGGACTTAGAACGAACAAATAATATGAAATTTAACAAGCATAGTATGGAACACCTTGCATCTAATGTCAATTTCTAATTCTCAAGCGTAAGTGTCAAGAAAGTTGCTATGAAAATAAATGAATGAAGGCAAAGACCGAATGTTTAACTAGTTACCATATCACCGTAACAGCACGTAGCTTTCAAAAATAAGTCAATTTTCTGAACTCTACCCAACCTTTATACAGATGGGATAAATCACCTGTTGTTAGTAAATTATTGCACACGCTCGTTTAATTACAAGTTATGGGGTGTTAGGTGTCAGTTTTTTATTGGTGAACATTGATCATTCTTTAAAAAAAACGTTTTCAACATAACAATCGATCAACTAAGATATGTGGACCATAAAGATAGAAGTAAAGGTGAGAAATGAAGCTAGTAATAAGATTCGATTGCAGCAATTCCATAGGAGAAATCATCTCTTCAAATACCAGAAACAATCAACGAGTTGCAAGAGATTTTACAAACAATAAACTGATGAAAAATAGTCGACAAATGCTACGGTACAAATTAATCAATCGAGAAGATTAACAAATAAAGTGAAAATTATACATACACAAGAGTGAGGACATAGAGATAAGGATAATTTGCATGCAAATATGGAGAAATCAATTGATACACTATACGTCAATGAGCAAACAGTAAGTGTCTAGTGCACAAAACGTTAATGTCATTAGAGATTGGCGTAACAATAAGATAAACATGCAAAAAATATTAGACGCCACACTTCGAAAAAGTACACAAAAAGTGGAGAAAATAAGTGTAATGGAAATACAATTGGGGAGGATTTTCATGAGCGAATCATCAAATGAAAACTAGTGAGTATTTCCACAATCTAAAAGATAGTTAGGAGTATTAGCGTATGCTTTATTGTGTACGCTTCTGAGCTAGGTCCTTAATTAATCTCCACCCATTGACTATTAGCATTTAGACGACATCAGAGCCAAGCAGTCTGTATCTCTGTACACTAGGCTCAGACCAACAGTCACTGACTTACTGAGTTAGTACTATCTTCAGCTCTGGAATCACACTATTTCTCAACCTCATTCTTGATATAAGTATAAAACTTGGGCACTGTGGTAGAGTCTGTCTGTCTGTTTTCGACATAGAACTTTGCACAAATGTGGGGAAGTTCAAGTCGCCACATTCCGTGTAGCACGCGAAGCAAGAGAAGAAAGTACAAGAAAAGCATAATAGAGACAGTAAGCAGAGGTGTGAGACAAAGGAGTAATAAAGAAATACAAAACAGTTTCATTGAGTATAATTCCATTACAGATAAGATTTTATTTTGATAAATCACAGTGTTGTACAGCTATATGAACTGATGACGTTTCGAGCACAAACTATTGCTCATAATCATATCAAGGTACTCACACAACTTCCTAACTTCATTTACATAGTTCCATTATTTTCCACTTGATTTGATTGGCAGTAGTATTTTCCATATTTCAGGTATGAGTGATAAATAATTCCTATTGCATGTGTTTGGTGTAGACTCGATGAACCGGGCGGGATTCAGTAATCAACCTCTCTCGCTCTCCACCTATCTATATTACTTTTTAGAATTTTAAACCTATCCCACCTTATTGTGTGGTTGTTTATTAATGCGTGAAGTGCAATTGCTGAGCATTTTTCTAAATTACTTATCGTTTCAGGGTCAACCATTCTTACCTTAGCTAAATTCTTATGTTCCGACAATCTGACTACCCCTGACCTACTAGTTTGACCTATGTAGTTGACCTCACAGTGATTGCAGGGTATTTTGTAAATTATATTATTTTGTCTAATTGGGTCAACTGGGTCCTTTAACCTACAGAGCTTGTCCCTGAGTGAGTTTGTAGGTTTAAATGCCACTCTAATTCCTGCTTTATTTAGAATCCTACGTAGGGTTTCAGATGTCCCCTGTTTATATGGTATAACAGTAGATGACTTATACTCCCTCTTATTTATGTTATTATCAATAGTTTCACAATTATTTTTATTTTTCGTTTGGCCTTTTTCGATCTTCCTAATGAATTTTAAAGGATAGTTATTCAACACCAAAGCCTCTTCTATCTGTTTTAGTTCATCATTTAGGTCTTTTCTTGTGCTACTGCTCAGTTTGTTAAACACTTAACTAAGCCTGCTTTAACAGTTAACGGATGAGACGGACTAAAGTCTAAGTATCTATTAGAATGAGTTGGTTTTCTGTACATAATAGTGTGTAGTTTACCTTCTTCTATTCATTTTATTTTACAATCTAACAGCTAATTCTCTTAGTTCATTTTCCGATTCAAATGTGAATTTTATTCCCTGCACCAGTGAGTTTAGGTGTGTCAAGAAGCTAGAGATATGTTTTGTTTTTAACACTGAAAATGTCATCCACATATGTCCACATATCTCCACATTTTTGGAGTAGGAGTAAACGTATTAAGAGCATTACTTTCCCAGCTGTCCATAAATATGTCTGCTACGATAGGGGATATTGGTGATCCGATTGCTACACCTTCTGTTTATCTATATATTTTACCTTGGAACCTTGAGGAACTCACCAACCAATCACAGCAGACTTTACGTGGTCAGATGCTATACACAGATATATGACCGGACTGTCTAAGAAACGGCCACAAAGAGATGACAAAATAACCTTCAACAAGAAAACAACCAATCGGAAGACATTGCTTCTCTGCTAAAGATAACGAATAATGATGTACGTAAAAATCTACAAATACCTCTTGATTTTCTCAATAAACGATCTGTTGTCTGACCCTTGTCTTCTGTCGTTACAGTACTAGTATTAAAGATGGTGTACCAGCTTACTGATTCGCAGAGTTTGATCGGTATATAGGAACAAGGATGTAATTAGTTGCACGCCAATAATCAACCATTTCATCAGTTTTACTAATGTACATCTTCAGTCGGTACTCCCACAATAGCTCAGTGAGAACGACTGTGGTTTCGAAACATCCCATGGTGAGGATTTTAACCCACAAGTGGATATCGATATTCTGGCTGTTACAGATACAGTGTATTGACAAGCTAAACCGATTACACTGATTGTATCTATTTGTTCCTGATGACTATCTGTATTCACGGTTGTTTTTGTTTCTTTACGCCAAGCTATCACTTTTCTTGACGACTAGTTTTAACTCAATTAGAAAGAAGTTAAAAATAACACAAGAGTGATCGAAGTGACTAACTGACTGGTTTCAACATAAAACTTTACATAGATGTGCAGCAGTTCAAGATGCCACACTCCCTGTAGCACACAAAGCAAGAGAAAAGCGTAATGAGAGATAATAAACAGAAACGTGAGGCAGAAAGAACAGTAATATGGAACCGCTATAGAATTTTTTTGGATGTTATATATCACGAAGAGTAAATGCATCTGAACCAGCCGTTGCGAACGATTTCGAGCCATATCACCAATAGTCTTCAGCAATTGGTTCTTACCATTACAAGGACCCCAACCGGTCAGGAAGTCTACACCTCCCTGCTTGAATGCCGTAAAGTGACTGTTGCGGATTTCATTGTCTGATGTTGTTTCCACTAGACCACCACTAGTTCTGATATAAGAATAAAACTCGTGCACTGTGGTAGAGTATAATTCCATTGTGGGTAAAATTTATTTTGATAAAGTCTCAGTGTTATACAGTAATATTTACTAATGACGTTTCGAGCACAATTTATTGTTCATAATCACATCAACAACCACTAATCATTTTCCAACCTGATCCACCCTACTTCAGCTAACATTGCCCATTGACGAGGAAGGTGATGGTTAGGCATGCGCAGCAACACATATCCTAACCATCTCAATCGGTGTAACTTCGCAAACTCGTCGACAGATTTCACCTCCTTACCTACCTAGCACTCGACCGAAGCCTAACCTCACTATTACTCACCTTATTATACCACATAACACGGCAGATAGAAGGTAGGCACCTATGATCAAGGACAGATAGTCGGGCTTTTCATGCCTTCCATTTTCAATGGCCATGTCCCACAGCCAGCCATAAAAGAGGACGCAGCAGATTGCTGAGCAGTAAATACATCCTTTGGCCGACAGCCGAACATCACAACTACGCCAGAGGTGGCGTAAGTTGGTATATGTCAAACGAACCCTCTGTATTCGTGCTGAGACTTCGTCAGCGATCAACTCGCTGGAACTGCCTGATGAAACTCCCAAAATAAGTGAAACGGTTTACAACATGCTCCAACAGTTTACAACCCATCTTTAAACCAGCTAGAAGTCGATGTAGTTCAGTCCCGTAGCATCATCTTACAATTGACAGCAGGAGCGAATCGCATGCCAAGCATTCGAAAATTGCTGCTCCTCAAGGTGTTCAGAAGATTGTGCTATATTTCTTCAGCGTTTTCACATAGGAGGATTACTATATCAGCACATTCTAAGTCAACGAGGTTATTCCCTGGTATCAAGTCAACCCGAGTCGGTGAATTCACTTAAGGATAAGCCCACTAGTACATCTATGATGAAAATGAATAGAAACGGGGATAGTGGGCATCCCTTACTGACACCAACTATTAATGGTTGTCATCACTTCAGATGACAACTCTCCATAGGCACTTACCCGAAGTTCGAGTAGAGTACCTTGATCAGTGTGATATATTTCCTCGCCATTACCTTCATAGCTAAGCATAGCCATAATACCTCTCGGTCGACGGAATCAAATGCCGCTTTCAGGTCAAGAAATGTGGCGAGTGTTGGATGCCGTTAAACATACCTGTGTTCCAGAATCTGTCGGAGTGATATGTTTAATACACCCTCTTCCTGGTCTGAAACCTGCCTCGTTCTCTCGTGTTTGTTCCTCCCGAGCACCACAGTCCAAAAATTATTGAGCCTAGAACTTTAGATACCATTTATAAAATTATATTTGTAAAATCCCAGCGAAATTGAAATGATTAATTCCAACGTTTTGTCCGGTAATCTGGTCCGAACTTCTTTAGGGAAATTAATCGAAATTAACAACAAAGTTTATATATAGAAGGGACGTCTCTTGTTTTTAAAACTTTGTCCAATCATGAGCCATGCAACAGGTATCAACATGTATAGTAAATAAATAAAATAAAATTGTGTTTACATATAAAAGTACATCTCTCGTTTTTAAATTGTTTATCCTGTCATATGAATCAAGAAACATCTATCAATAGGTATACTAAACAAAACAAAACAGACATTAAAAATTGTATGAACTATGATCAAAATTTGACCTCAGACTTTCAAAATTTGTCTACTTTTGTTAAAATATATGTGTATATGTAGTATATAAAGGTGTGTGTGGGTGAACAGTCATAAAACATTTGCTATTCTCATATGAGCTGTGATCAAGATTTGACCGGATAGTTGCAAAATAACTGAGATCTTTACAAATATAATATAATTTTTATAAATTTGTTATTCTCTCCATAAGATGTAGACAATCGGGAATTTGACCAAGTGTGACTAGTTGTTGATACATACAAATATAATTTTATAAATGTCTACTTCTCACTCAGCACTCAATTATTTTGCAGCTATCCGGTCAAATCTTGATCACAGTTCATATGAATTTAGATACCATTAAAAAGTCCTTCGAGGAGTTTGAGTGCTTCATATACGCAATATCACGGAAATATTATTTGAACTGCGTAAATTATTGAAAACTAACTGGATATGAATGACTTGCTGATTAATTTAACATATTAATTTGAAAATCTTACGGACTGATTCAGTTGGTCAGTCGCCTAGCTTATACGAGCCAAATCTGTGAAAAACTGGCTATAGGTATCGAGGTTGAAGTAATTGGAGTGAGATTCGGAACTACAGCCTAAAGCCTGTTCCAACGAACGACATCTACATTTGCACACAAATTTTGTGAGTTAGCGTATTCAGAAGACGCAATATAATTTATTTGACAGATGGTACGCATGTTATTTGGAAAGCAACGGGATTATGAGAGTAGCTTTAAGATTAGACATACTTATTCTTCACTACAGTGCAACCTGGAATAATTTATAGAACTGTTGAAAAATAATACCAACATCCAAAAATAGAAGATGCTGCGTACAAGAATACATACATTCAACAAAATGTAATCAAACCACCAATGGAACTTCTCAAGTGATTGTCAACATAAGTAGACATTAAAATGTATAATAGTCTACCCATTATGCACACGAAAAGCGTTACCAAGTAAAGTGACTATCGGAATGTCGCAAGACAGCGCTTAAAGGATCCCGTATCACTGTCGTTCGAACCAATATGACTGAACTCAACAAACAGTTTTCGACCAAAATAAGCTAATTAACAGTGACGTTAATGAAAACAGTGGAATGAAAAGTATATGTCTATAACAGAACTTACTGGGATGATCGAAATCGAATTCGCTATTTAATGCCATTTTACGCTCTTCATCAGAGAGTTCACGATAAAAGGATGAAAGGGTGAGAACCACAACTTTCTTTTCTTTTGCTTTCTTGAACAAGACGTCTTTTATTTTTTGACATGCTTCTGTCTAAAAGTGTTATATCATGTAGGAGAAGTACCTTCCCTGAAGCGGCTCCCCCACTAACACCAATTAGAAAAGGCTTGTATGAAGAGCTGTGAACCATCTCAACCTGAGAGAGTGTAGAGATGCAAGCGTCTTACGGAGAGGCTGAGCACTTGAAGGTCACTTGGCCATACTGTGATTGGTAGAATTTCCTTTGCATTAACGTTGCGGCTAATACGTATTGGACGTTACTGATGTGGGCTTTGAAATAATTGTAAAAAAATTAGATGAACATCATTTTTTTCAGCTAGAAAAACAGATAATTATGTGTATGAATGGCGACGGCAAAGAATGGCCACCAAAGCCAAATTACATTTAGTCTACAAATTATATCCTTCTTGGTGATAAGTGGCATTTCATTTTTTGATTTTATAGATTGACTCCACACAGTATTTTTGATAAAAGTATATAATTTTCAGCATGTGGTATCCGTAGCCCAAATTTAGCAGGCTGATCACTGATATGAGGTATGCGTCTGCAGGGGATCGAACCCTGGACCATGTGCATGGTCGGCGAGCGGCCTATCCGCTGTGCCACCGACGCATATATAAGCATACATGGGCAACAGTAAAAAATAGATACCCAAATCAAATGGCCTTTAGCCAACCAATAAGACGGCCAGGCATGACACATGAATGGTGTTCATAACTTTCGTTGTAAGTTTCATAAAGATGTTTTAATACCAGTAATACAACGACTAGATCTCCTAGGCACTACCACTCATACACTCGACTAGGAAGGTTATTCAAGGTTATCATTAGACTATATTCATCATAAAGTCAATCATACTTCTGAATTAGTAGATCCTAAAAGTGGAACTCATACAAAATTTATTGAAAGACTCTGCGTGAACCTAAAATTACGTATTATAATATTTAATGGTTCCGGACATAATATGACATGATGATTTTGATGCTTTTGCTTTACTGTTGCCGATACGATATACAGCCACTTAGATTTGTTTTATTCACATTGGCTTTATATGTATACAGAAGCTCCTTGAGAAACTGAGGCCAGCTTTTACATCATCTTAGAGATACAAGCCCTGTATAATTCAGTTTTATTACATATACGGGTCAAGTTAATTTTTAAGCACCACTAACTACCAATCAACGAATGATCTTGACTGGCCGAATGAGCTTCAACGGCGTGAGGTGAAGGTTCTCTTCCACTTAATGCGGGCCAGATGTCAGTGAAGGCAAGTTAATGATTCTAATTTTTCGTAGGAATATTTGTAGCCAGGTCACGCTTGCCCTTCACCCAGATTTCGTATACTTGTAACCACGGGGTTTTAAAGCAGCCTGTGACAGGCGTGGCTGCTGACACAGAGAATACAGAAAACGTGTAAGTACCGTTAAGAGACTGAGATCTAATACTCGTCAACCGTCTGAACGCCTCAGCTCCGTTGACGATTCTATACTTTTGACACCAGACACACTCAAAGCTATGGTATCTGATATCATGGAGGAACCAATAGGTAACGCGGCTCGCAGCAAAAATTATTTACTGACACTTCAGAAATTAATAGCAGACTTACAATGTAAGTTTGACAGCATTATGAACCTCACGCAACTGTGTAACCCATCACAAAACATCTGCCTAGAATCACTTATCAAATCCAAGAGCATTATTGACTATTTGGCTGAAGAAGCTGCTAAAAGAATTATGTTTTCGCGTGACATCTTGGAATATAGCATTCTAGACCGAGAGCCTATTGCCAAACCTAAAACTTCATGTCTAAAGGCATGTAAAGTGTAGTTAATCGACTGTCAGGTTGTGCGTTTTCGTAATAAATCTAAAAACCACTCATGTCCCGTGCTTTTCAAGTCAGGTTTATTGAAGAATCTAGGAATTTTCTGAAATGTGCTAAGATAATAGGCTCTTCAACACCCTACAACAACATTGGGGTTGCACCAGGTTTAACGCCATCGCCAAGACGATGCCGCTCAGGAACACTAAATGCTGATAACTCTCATAGGACAACTGTAGATGATGTTCAATGCGTTATTCCGTCTGGCAATATCCCTGATGACCGAATGCATCAGACATTTTCACATGCACTGACAAATATTATATAAAGACACTGATGCCGACACTGAAATGGTGAACATAGATTAATCAAGAGAACATAATGTTGAAAAATATAGTTTGCACACTGACACAGACGTCAAGAGCCAGAAAACATGAAAACGCACCTAACTAGTGTTCCACCCACCTTCTTATAAGTCACTTAGCCCTCAGTCTGGCAATCTACCCACTGTGAAATACTAGTCTAATTTAGCTACCCAAAAAAGCAAGTTCTCTAGGCGTTGTCCTCAACCTGGAGGACAATTGTACAATTCAATAACTATACAGCCTAGTTCAGACAATGTGTATTTATATATATCAAATATTTAACTGTTGAAACATTATTAACTTGTAGACAATCTACGATTTGATATTATATCATACTTGATCGTGCCTGTAAAAATGGCATGCATTTTCATGTAAATTTATATGTTTATATGAGAATATACATTATTATTATTATGACAAACGTCCTGTGTCAAGGAACGTAAACCTAAGTTCCTATTGCTACGAAGACGCTCCGAATCGATAAATACTATGTACTTTCTTCGACTTCAACTCCAAAACACCAGTATTGTAAGAAGAAAGCTACATTGTTTGGCAATTAGAGTGGAGAACAGTACAAGTCTACAAACAAATGTTTTATACAAATTTATTATGTACTTTTATTTGTTTTTGTGCGTCCTCGTCGAACTTGCACACGATCAAACCATTCGCGCCTTCGAGTTGCCCACCAATCGCCACCAGTTCCAAAAACAAACGTTCAGTGTTCACGTCCATTGACATACTGTTTCCGTTAAAGAACCAAGGCACCGGAAGTGTTCAAGCAAAAGAAACCCCATTTAGCATGTGCTGGCTGCCCTGTCAGCCATCATCAACCAGTTGATAATAAAAGGGGGGAACCGAAGTAAATAAATTAAATACTGAACTCAGAGTAAGAAAGCCCTTTGATATGATGGAGTCGAAAGCACCTCTAAGCCACCTTTCCAAGAGTAGGTCAAATATGATAGACCAAGCTCCTAGAGGTAGGCCCAATTGGTCTCAATCAGGAGGCCAATTATATCCAACTATTAATTGTAAGCAAAACACATGACTAGGTATTGGTATTATTCTGCTCATTCACTACGTAAACCCGTTGTTATCCAGCCCCTTCTTAATATTCCATCAACTAAAAGTTATAGAAAAGCCCCCAAACATCGGCTACAGACTAGATTCAGCAAGCTAAATAGGCCCACGAAACCCACTCATACATCTTGTGTATTTAGTAGGAACCATGTATCTATTTCTCAACAAAACCTGATATGGTCTGAAGACTACTCGAAACAGATACCAACACTTCATTCCTATTCTGGGAACAAATTACCCAATATTCATACTGATCATAACTTTCACAACAGCACTGCAACTATTAGCCGCTTAGAGCAAATTTTAACCAGCGTCAGTTAACAGAAACACCTTGCATCATGCATGTAGCACGCATGATATCGTATCAGTCCCTTGCTGGCATAGCGAACAGTCTACAGCTAGGGCAAGGTACATTTCTCAGTAGATAGCTGCTACTGTGTCGGCACCAAATGCGGAGACTAATATCTCTAAAATACTAATATCTGATTATCCTACAGGTGTCTCTCACCGCATACCCAATCCAAACGACAGACCATTTCCGACTACCGCCTTACAAGCATGCCTGAAGTCTTTCTGTGATCTAAATATATTGGTAAATGAGTCTAAAAGCATGTATACAGTGGATACTAGAGGATTATTCTATCAAGATGTTGTCCGCTCACTGAAACCACGTAGTCAGTGTTTATCTATTATCCTGGTAAATACGAGATCACTTCTAAGCAAACACTTAACACTAAGTGCATTAGCTTCTATATGCAGACCGTCATTGATTATGATCACTAAAGCCTGGTGCATAAGTGAAATCTCTAATGACGGCCTAAGGAATGATAGATGCAGCCACTTTCATTGGACACTAGTAACTAGTGTGACGTGTCTAGTTCTTTCTTTGGTGCAGAATGAATTCTATCAGTCAATTGTGCAGTGTGGCCACCGTGCTAGGTATCTCGGCATCAAAGAACGCCGTTGGTATTAGATGGTTGCAGGTAATCGGCGAGAAGCCTTGGACCTAGGTTTCCTGCTAGTTGGCACTCATCAGTCAGCAAGTCGTGTCTGTAACATGGAAGGAACTCATGTCACTTCTGAAGGAACACGAACAACGTAATACCATCTGCAGTACATGTGGGACATCAATTTCTAGGTAGGGGCCATAAAATATCAGTATATTCTTTTAGCATATCTCCTGAAACAAAGGGCGTTGATAAGGCATATCCCCTATTTGAAGTGGCGCCTCTGGCTTAACCTTGACGGCATTTGCGCGGTTTCGTTGATTCGAGTTGGAGCTAGTCGTCCAGCAAACGCAGTAGGCGCGATTTCGGTGCTTATTTTGCTCTTGTTGGATGAATTTATATGAAAATTATTGTTCTTGAGCATTTACTTATTTCTTGTGTGACAGGACGCTTAAAAACATGGTTCATGCAGTGATTTTTGGCATGTCGATAAGGTTCGCGTACATTTCAACGACTGTCATCCGATAAATTTCTTTGCACATTGGCGGAAACTTGTACTCGGTCTCAAATTTCCCTATCAGCATTTGTGCAGTACCTATTACTGCTGCAGGAACCGAAGAATATGGTTGATATCAAATTTTGCATCCTTCCGCAATTTTGTGTGGTGTTTTGATAGCTGAAAGTCAATGGAATGCATAAATACAAGCGAAAATTAGTGTTCACAAAGGGGAAGAAACTGTAATATGTTTTACGATCACTTACAACATTCAGTGTTTTCTGCCAAAATTTTTAAATGAGTTAAATGCACACTGCAACATTTTAGTAACTTGGTGGATTTCAATACCATCCTCGTGATCAGGTACGTAAAGACATCTGACGTGTGTGTCATTTTGTCCTATTAGTGAGTTTGGTTTCATAAACTTCCGATTTTTATTATTGTCCTGACGCCACATTATTCGCGCTTGTTCGAAGTTAATTCACAAAATTATTTTAAAACCACGTAAAAGTTGCACTCACTGAAAATCTGGCGGATTTTTCCAACTATGCACAGAAATGATTGTA